GTGCCTTGTAAAATGATTCCACTTATCTAGGGAAATGGATCTTTTCGGGCTCTTTTTGCGCGTTAGTTAAATTGAGAGTGCGTACCTGAGTGTCACAGTTGGGGACCCACCTGGGCTTGTGTTCTGTTTACTTGGCATTGACTTTTTTTCCTCTTAAAGGCCAACAGGGACACCTCCGACTTCTGCCATGTTGTCTCTGATGACTTTTTTTTTTTAAAGAAAATACTATCTTGGCCTGGCTCAGTTGGTTGAGCGTCAGTCTATGAACTAGGAGGTCACATTTCAATTCCCGGTCAGGGCACATGCCTGGATTGCGGGCTCAATCCCCATTGTGGAGCATGCAGGAGGCAGCCGGTCAGTGATTCCCTCTCATCACTGATATTTCTACTCTTTCTCCTTCTCCCTTCCTCTCTGAAATCAATTTAAAAAAATACCATCTTGGAAATATGTGGACTCCTAATGTTGAACATCATATTTTCACAAAGGGAGAAGACATCTGGCCTTAAACTGTAAATTTTAAAAAAAGATAAAAGTGATTGCAATAGCCCTAGCCAGTTTGTCTCAGTGGATAGAGTGTTGGTCTGTGTACTGAAGGGTTCTGGGTTCGATTCTGATCAAGGGCATGTACCTTGGTTGCAGGCTCCTGGCCCTGGTCAAGGGCATGTGGGAAACAACCAATTCATGTGTCTCTCTCACATCCGTGTTTCTCTGTCTCTCCCTGTCCCTTCCATTCTCTCTAAAAATCAATGGAAAAAAATATCCTTGGGTGAGGATTAAAAAAAGGGGGGAGGGGGTTGCAACAGTTTACTTAGTTCTTAAAGAATTTAAGTGGAATGGGATAATTAACTAAGTTTAATAATTCACCTGCCTTTTCCTCTTATGCAATATGTTTGTTGGACTTGGTGAGAAACGCTAAGCTAGAACTCCACACAAAGGCCCTTTTCCCAGGAGCTCACCTTCTGCTTGCCTTTCAAGGTGGGTTCACGAGGGAGCAATAGCCCTCTGAGAACAATCGAGACAGGTTCACACCGGTTCTGAGTTAATATTTGACACGATCCAATGTGCGGGAAATACTTGGTCCCTGAAAGAAGCCCAGGAGGAAGACTACTGGTGAAGGTTTAGTACCAGCAAGTGAACACGCAAGCCGAGCCCGGTGGTAAGGGGAACATAGAAACATCTGGGCTGCTGTCTTTTCGTTTCATTGTACTTACCACCGTGGCCCCGAAGTGAAGCACTAGGAATTGCTCTGTGTGTTTGCCTACTGTGTCAGGTGAGAGACCTTTAATGGTCCGCTGCGGCCTCAGAACGTTCAAGGCCAGGTGAAGGTTTTTCTTGGGAAACCACGTTCCCCAGCCGTCACTGGGAGCAGCAGGGCTTCTTGCACACTGTGGGTTTCCAATATGCTGTCATCCAGGGTGGGTTTCTATTATACCGTCATCGGGTGGAAGCCTGCTGAAATGTCTACTCCATCATCTATATAGTTTACTCCAGAGTGTCTGTGAAGTCACACTGAAACAGGTAATCGGCTTAAGATCAATTGAGACCATTTACTAACCCTTAATCATGCAAATTCTGAAAATCAGATTTCTGGTTAGTTCCAGACTATTCTCCGTGAGGTGGTATTTGAATCCGCTTCAGTGCGACTTGGGCAAGGGAGCACTTCGGTAGGAACACAACTGTCTTGCTGCCTGTTGTGAGGGCGTTTTTCCTGAAATACAGCATCATAGAGTGCCATGCACACTGTTCAGCGCAGGGATAGAAGGACAAGTCTGACAGTGTGGCCCGATTGTCATTGTTGCCGTGTGGCTTTCTAAGATCTGCTCTCACAGGAGATTAAGTTGAAGGGTCTCACTTCAGGTTCTGGACACCCAGCAAGCAGAGCAACCAGTGAGACTGCCGGCCCCGTTCCCTCAGCGCCCTCCCCACTCTCAGGAGGGTGGTTAGGAGCATGGGGCCTGGCATCAAGCCGTCCGGGTTCACCTGTGTATAAGCGATGTCACCTTGGGCATGTGTTTTAGCTTATCTGAGCCTCAATGTCATCAAAATATGACATAATACCATCTCTCTCGTAATGTTGTCGTATACAATACGTAAGGTTTAGAACTGTGTACTTAGCCCATAGCAAGTACCTAAAGGAAGTATGAACTCTACACTGTTATTGCTCTTGCAATATTGACTTGTAATGATTTCCCTACATATTTGGGTTTTATACCATTGACCTCCTTCAAGTCAGGAATTGTTTCTTGGAATTTAAAGAATGTACCACAAAACTTGACACCAGATAAATAGTTGATAAATATTTTGGGAACGAATAAGTCAGTGCATGAATGGGCTGTTTGATCCTCTGTGGTCTCTTCCCCCCACCCCCTTTATTATTGTGGTAAAATACACAACATAAAATTTACCATCTTAACCACTGTAAGTGTACAATTCAGTGGTACTGAATATACTCTTGATATTGTGCAACCATACCACCACCCATCTCTGTTGCTCTTTCATCTTAAAACACTGAAACTCTATAAACAGTGGGGAAAAAAAATACCCTGCAAATTAATGGAGGTGAAATAAAGACATTTCCAGGCCAACATCCACTCTGTCTTTGAACCCATACCACCACGTCATATTACTGTGGCCTCTGCATCTTTTCTCGCCATGGACACCCTTCTGTTCCATGAACTGATTTCCTTCTCTAGGAATCATGTACCGACTCTGAGTGACCTGGTAGGACACATCTTAAATGCAATTGCCAGAAACTTACAAAAGAGCTCCCATGACCTTCTACAACTCTCCAATGGCTCCTGCTCTTCCCACTGTTAGTGATCTCCTCCAATTTCTACTGGTCTCGGTCTCCTTAGTGCTCAGCGGCACCTGGTAGACAGCCGCCCTCTCTCACCGACGCTCTCTCACTGACTCCCTCACGGTTGCTCTCTGCCTGATCGGACTCTTGGTTTCCTGGTTTGTTTTCAGTTGTTTTGTACCCCACTTTTCTAGTTCTTGGGAGATACCATGGGTTTGCTAGAAGCTACTTTGTCAGCCAGAAACAATAGTTCTCATAAACAGTAGTTTATTCTTCATATTAATACTGTTTTCTGGAGAGTGTGTTGTGCAGAATTCGAGTGCCTCAGAATTAGAGTGCCATTGCCAGCTTAGTGGGTGGGCTGCCTGGACCAGTGGAGGTGCCAGGGGCCCTGGGCTTCCATTGGCCTGGCCACCCTGCCCTTCGCCTTCCGTTTTCCGGTAGATGTGCCTCCTTGCTTCCATTGTGTAGTGTTCTGTATTTATTTTAGCGTGAAGGCACTAGTTCAATCGAGTCTTTGAGTGGATGAATATTTTAATATAGATAGTAAAAATTTAATAAGCTACTAATATTCAAATTTTATATTAAAAGAGTGCAATAATTAAAGGCACAGTGAAACCTAATCTTTAAAAGTCTGTATTTATAAGAATCAAGAAAAAATGTCTGATAAAAAGCTATTACAAATATCATGGTTTGTCTTTTATTTTACCTTTATTTCATCTTGACTAATAAGCATTGGTTAGCCGGGTCGGTGTGGCTCAGTGGTTGAGCATCGACTCATGAACCAGAAGGTCATGGTTCAATTTCCGGTCAGGGCACATGACTGGGTTGCGGGCTCGATCCCCAGTAGGGGGCGTGCAGGAGGCAGCCAATCAATGTTTCTCATCATTGAAGTTTCTATCTCTTTCATCCGCTCCCTTCCTCTCTGAAATCAATAAAAAAAATATATTTTTTTAAAAAGCATTGTTTAAATGTATCATTTATGGTTGATTGTGGGGAAAATGAAATAATGTGTTAAAAACTATCTACATTATAGTTTTGAATATAATCATAAACATAACTATTAGAATATAAGTGTATTATTAACGTAATTCACATTTATAAGTGAATTATCAACATCCATATACCTTAACCTGAGAATCAGACATTAGATCCAGAATTAGCAGCAATACTCCCAGATTCCTTTTTTCATCCCTCTTCACTTTGCTATTGTAATGAAAGGCTCTGGGGCTAAGATGTGTTTAATAATGTGTTTGATGGGAAATAACTGCTACATAGTCAAGGAGGGAGGGCCCATCTTAGACTTGTGTTTTCATCTTATCCTCTGTGTTAACCGTAAGGATGCCCCTGGCAGACCTCCAACTAGAGGGAACTTGAATGACCAGGGGCCCCTGCCACTGTGCTCTGTGATCGGGGCTGCTCTGCAGGTAGGGCCCGGGAGGAGCAGGGATGCCCTGGGAGGCAGGAACCACTCTGCGGGCCGACTGGCTCGAGCACCTTCTCTCTGGTGGCTGTGCTGAGCCTTCCCCAGACGGCCAGCAATCCAGGAGGATCCCACCAAGTCCCCCACTCTGTCCTCCACTCAGGAGGGGGCAGCCGATCAATGATTCTCTTTCATCATTGATGAGTCTGTCTCTCTCTCACTCTCCCTTTCTGAAATCAATAAAAATATGTATTTTAAAAAACAAAATAAAAAAGATACTATCAGGTGAAATTACTAAGGAGAGAAAGGGTATTTACTATAATTTTCATGGCAATAATATGCTATTACTGTTACATATTTGAATTTAGGAAAGTTAAAACTTTATGTAATTGAGAGCTAGTCACTCAGATTTTTTTTTTCATGGCAGTTTATTGATTGTCTGTGTATGTGTAAACTTGCTTTCGGCAGGACTGAATTATTACAGTTCTAAAAAGTGTTTTAAACATGGTTGATTTACTCAGGAAGACTGGATGGCTGTGAGGAATCAAGCAGTTCTGAAGCAGTTCTTAAGCCATGTTCAAGATATCTAAGGCTATTTAATAAATTAGAGGCGCATATCTGAGGGTGTGTTGATAACTGACATATTGTAGAAAAGCAGAATAATTCGATATAATAGGTATAACAGATGGTTGTTGGTAACTCTTGCTTTCAATGTATATGATTTCTACAAGAGTGCCTATATTTTATGGATTAGTGATGAAATCTTCCATTTTCTTGCAGAATCAGAGTGAAAGATTCGTTTTCATCACAGAGTGGTATGATCCAAACGCTTCGCTTTTTCGACGGTATGAGCTTTTGTATTACCCAGGGGACGGATCTGTTGAAATGGTAAATGAGCCTTTCTTTGTTTGGAAGTGGGCAAGGGAGCCAGGGTGGGGTAGGGAGAGGAACGGGCTTGCCTTTTAGATAGTGTGTCCAAAATACTTTTACATGTACATTTTTAATGGGGATTCTTTTCTGGTATTATAATTCCAGTTTATTTTTAAATGTCGAAAAATAGGAATGAACATTTTTTTTGGTTAGAGAACTGAGTGGAGTTATCCATGTTTTGGATGAAGTGATAGCAAGTAGCTCTAGGGAAAGCTGGTCATGGTCACAAATACGTCCCCATTATTGAAAGCTGTCATCTCTGCACAAGGCCCGACTGAAGAAGGTCGAGCTGAGGTCCCTTCCTTGGCAGCCCCTTTGACAGGCGACTCCCTTTGGCATTGGAGGTTTGTTTAGGCGAGAAAGCAGGCATTGGCATTTCTCTGGGATGTCAGAGGTAGTGACTTGCTGAGCTGATTCGGCAGTAAACCCATCTTTACAGTCAGGGTTTTCTTAAGAAGTAGCACATTTGTAAGGAGAATTTCTTATGTTATTACCGGAGTAGACTCTGAAATACAGAAGTTATAAAAGAAATTACAGTCTGCATTTGTAGCAAAGTGAAGCAGAATGTAGTCTGTGTTTAATAATGTAGCAGGGAGGGCTCTTCCTAATCTCGGAGTTGAACATTCCCTCTGATCACTGGTATCGTTCGGCTCTAGCATGACGTGAAGAACCGCCGCACCTTCCTGAAGCGGACCAGGTATGACGGCCTCCACCTGGAAGATCTGTTCATCGGCAACAAAGTGAACGTCTTCTCCCGGCAGCTGGTGCTGATTGATTACGGGGACCAGTACACAGCTCGCCAGCTGGGCAGCAGGAAAGAAAAGTAAGGAAACCGTGCGATCGTCTTTTCTTTTCATTCTGTAAACGTTGACTGGGGACCAGACTTTGTGGTGGTTTTATTTTTGTTTTTTTCTATCTTGTTTTTACAGTGTAGACATTTTTCAGTGATCCCGTTCAGTGTTGAGACACTTTTAGAATTCTATGGACCAGATTCTGTGATTTCCTCTCCACTGGCTACCAGGGTGATGCCCGTAGTCTTAAGCAGTGATTCTTTTCTGCAGGAAAGAAAATACAAACTTTCTCCACCTTCAGCAATCGTAGTAGCATACCTCCAGCTGGAAACAACATTGGAATAGAAAAGGTTTTGGTGTATGGGATAAACATGGCTTATGGGGGAAAGTAGTACCTTAAGCTCTAGACTTTCATTGGTAGATATGCACATGGACATTTAAATATGTTGTGTTGTTGGTATTTTTGTACATATTTCTACCATTTTACTCCTCTTTTCTTTTTTAGTTGAGATCTAGGTTTGTATCTATCAGGTCAAATTTGTGATTGTGGTGTTCACACCTTTCACATAGTCATGAATTTTTCCCCAGCTAATTCCATCAATTACCAAAGTTTTGTCAAAATGCCCCACTATACTTGTCACCTGTCTACTTTTCCTCATAGTTATGTTCATCTTTATGTTGTAATTTTGAGGATATGTCACTAGGTTTTTAAATCGTTAAATCTTCTTGGAAAATTGAACTTTTGCTATTATAAAGAGATGGTCCTTATCTCTAGCGATGAACTTAGCCTTGAAGTCTCCCTGGTGATGCAGAAGCTGCCCTGGCTTTCCTCAAATGATGCTTGCATGGTCTTCCTTCTTTCATCCTCTTGTAAAATTAATTAATTAATTCATTTATTATTTTAATCCTCACCTGAGGACATTTTTTCCATTGATCTTTCGAGAGAAAGTGGAAGGGAAGAAGGAAGAGAGATGGAGAGAGAGGGAGAGAGCAAGCAAGAGAGAAACATTGATGCAAGACACACCGATTGGGTCTGTGTTTCAAGAGCTGTGGTTCGCAAAAGTTCTCCTAGAGTTCAGCATAGACAGTTGATGGGTTTGGCTCGTCATATTTAAATAATGTGAGCTAAAAAGGGACTCATTTTCATTGTGTTCAGTGAAGCCATATGATATAAAATACTGTAGGAGACTCATCTGCTTCAAAACAAAGAAGAAAGATAGTCTGGTGCTGCTGGTACTGAACAGACCAAGATGAATAATTTGTTTTTCAAAAGTTTTAACCTCCAGCCATAAGTTACATCCAGCTGTGAGACTGTTTGAATCATGGGAGTCTCAGCCAAGTGCGTCTCATTGGAGAAAAAAAGCCCAACGAATCTCCATTTGTGGATCTGTGAGTTAATGTCGTCGTACAACCGAAAATAAAGTGGAAGGGGCTGCTGTTCTTGACCATAATCTTGTGTCATATGCACTGAGCGACTCCCACCGCTCTGATTTTCATCTTGCATTTGTAATTATTTCCAAATCAATGGATAGCGTCCATGTTAAAGCCAAGGAGACCAGAAATCAGGCTGGCAGTAGTAGCCTTCAGGGTGTTGTGAGGATGTTCCTTTTAACAACATTAAGCGTGACAGCACCTGTGGTGCGGGAAAAGTGCAGACTGGGAATGTCATCAGGTGGGTGTTTTGTTCTGAAGATGCCACTGACCAGCTTTGAGATCTTAGCCAAGTCGCCTTTCTGGGCCCAGTTTTCTCATTAGTAAAATGAGGGCACCCAGGTGATCTCCATCGTCAAATATCTGTTAGTCCTGTGGCTTCGGAGGGGAGTGCATTGCTTGGGGTAGCCTTGGAGGAGAGAGATTTTAAAAGTTAGGGTGGGCCCGGCCGGCATGGCTCAGTGGTTGAACGTCGACCTATGAACCAGGAGGTCACGGTTCAGTTCCCGGTCAGGGCACATGCCCGGGTTGTGGGCTCAATCCCCAGTGGGGGGCGTGCAGGAGGCAGCCTATCAATGATTCTCTGATCGTTGATGTTTCTCTCTCTTTTTTTCATTTCCTCTCTGAAATCAATAAAAATATATTTAAAAACAAAAGTTAGGGTGGCATTTGTTACCCATGTTCATCACCAAGTGTTAAGGCGTTTGGTTCTTTGTGCATCACTCATGTTGTGAATATGAATGTGAATAATATGTAATTATTAATAGAAGAACTTATAATTATTTCCAATCAATGGATAGCATACATGTTAAAGACAACGAGACCAGAAATCAAGCTGATAATATATTTAATACAACATTTTTTTCTTTCATAAAACGTGTTCTAAGAAGTAGAACTTTTTAAAAAGCGTTTTCCAATTTTGGCACATTAAAATGACAATTTTAGCATATTTTCTTCTAAGCTTATATTATTATTATTGCTATATTGTATACCTTATTTTGGTTTTCTTGGGGAAAAAATAGTTACCTTAATTTGCAGAAGTTTTTAAGAGACCTTCAGTGCACTTCTTTTACAATTTACTAGAGGCCCGGTGCATGAAATTCGTGCACGGGGTGTGTTGGGGGACGGTGGTGTGTGTGTCCCTCAGCCCAGCCTGCACCCTCTCCAATTTGGGACCCCTTGAGGGATGTCCAACTTCCCTGTGGGATTGGGCCTAACGGGCAGTTGGACATCCCTCTCACAATCTGGGACCACTAGCTCCTAACTTCTCACCTGCCTACCTGCCTGATTGCCCCCTAACCACTCCCCTGCCAGCCTGATCTACGCCTAACTGCTCCCCTGCCGGCCCGATTGCCCCCAACTGCCCCCCCCGCCAACCCGATTGCCCCTAACTGCCCTCCCATGCCGGCCATCTTGTGTTCACATGGGGGCGACCATCTTGTGTGTTGGGGTGATGGTCAATTTACATATTACCTCTTTATTAGATAGGATTGTGATGTTTGAGTAGGGAGACAACCACTGAGTGGGAATTAAAAGTAGAATCTGATGAGCTACTTTCAAACTTCTTTCTTTCTTTGCAGAACTTTAGCCCTGATTAAGCCAGATGCCGTTTCAAAAGCTGGAGAAATAATTGAAATAATAAACAAAGCTGGATTTACTATCACCAAACTCAAAATGATGATGCTTTCAAGGTAATTTGTTGATAATTTTTAATTATGCAATGTCCAGTTCCCTTTTTTTTTTTTTTAAATATATTTTTTTATTGATTTTTTACAGAGAGGAAGGGAGAGAGATAGAGAGTTAGAAACATCGATGAGAGAGAAACATCGATCAGCTGCCTCCTGCACATCTCCTACTGGGGATATGCCCACAACCCAGGTACATGCCCTTGACCGGAATCGAACCTGGGACCTTTCAGTCCGCAGGCCGACGCTCAATCCACTGAGCCAAACCGGTTTTGGCTCCATTTCCCTTTTTTTTTTTTAAAAAATCATCTTTTATCATTCATCTCATTGTTGAAAATTTTAAAATCTCACACTGAATGACAAATAGAATAGTTATCTAATTAGAATGAGAAAATGCAAGGCAGCTGGTGAGCCATAGCTGTCAGATCCTCCTGCCTCATTCCCTGTGTGTTGTCTTGCACAGCCCCATCTGCCGTTATAACTCACTGTGTGCTCACTGTGATCTCCTAACACATCAGTAGAACACTATAGAAATGAAAGAAGGAGAAATTAATGTTGCATTATTCCCATTGATATGGGAGTGTTATTGTTGAGATTTTCAAAAGTGATGCATTTGGAAATGTTTGTATTTAGCTCCACCCAACCAACATATATGTAATTGGGAAATATACCTGTTTACTCTTCCATTCTATCTGAGCAGGTGTTTTCTAAGTTGCTTAGTGAAAACAAGACTTTCTTATAGCAGAGGCATTATTGTGGCAGGTAGGCGCGACTGGGTCTGTTACTCCACCAGTTTTGTGTGTTCAGGGTCAGGTCTCTTCTCACTGCTGTTTTGATATCTAATCCACCAGACAGTTGCTTTTTTGTCTGTGTGTACAGGGACATGGATAGCAGCAGCTATTCAACATTGCATTCCCAGGAAACCATTACAAAACACCCTCAATTTATCCCCAACAATGACAGACGTTTAATTTGTGTTTTTTCCCCTTTGTGAGATCTCCCAGTTCCCTATTTACCAGGAAGGCAGGAGGCTTATATTTCAGAGCACAGAGTCTAGAGCTAGTTTGCTTGTAACTGTGCCGCTAACCAGGTGTGTGACTGTGAACAATTGATTTCTGTGCTTCAGTGTCTTCATCTGTGAAATGTAGGTCATCATAGCACCTGTGCCAGAAAGTTCCTATATTGCCGACATGAGTTTACTGTATGTCAGGTGCTTTGAGAAACCCTGTCCCATCGTAGGTGTACCTCTGTGTTAGCTGTTACTAGTAGTAGCATTAGTACTAGTGATATCATTATTATTTCGTGGAAACCAAGGTCATGACCCTTTATAAGTGGTCCCATTTGTCCCATTTCTGTAGGCACTGAGATGCTTGCCTTCTAGCAGGCAATGGGACTGGATTATGGAGATGCATTTCCGTAGTTTCAGGGAGATGGAACATTTTTTATGTCGCCACACTTCCAGTGCCTGGTACTTGGGCATCAAACTTCCCATGCCAGAGATGCCCAAGAAAACTTCTCCTTGTTCATGCCATCTCACACATGTCTATTAACACTATTGTCGAGTCTTGGCCTTTACCCAACTCAGAAGCTAATGAGGTAGACTGTTACTCTTTCATGGGTGCTGCACAAGGCAGGAGACGTCTGGGTCAAAGACAGAGGACCTTGTTGGGGTACAGCAAGCAGCACGGACGTCATGTTTATGTTGGTTCCTCTTGCCTCCTCCAGGGCCATGGAAATAATGTGATATGGGCCCTGGTGGGTGTTGTATGCACAATTGATTGCATCGCAGTGCGGAGCATTGAACTTGGGTTACCACTGTTTCATCAGAAGCAGTAAACAAGCCTGCTCTTTGTACTGAAGAGAGACATGACCTCATCCCTCAAAGATAATCACCATGAACAGGACTCTGAGAAGTGGTGGGATAAAGAGCAGTCAGGGCCTCGCATTCCTAGCTTATCCAGTGAGACATGTTAGGTGCACCGGAGACCCATGGGAGGATCTGACAATACTTCAGTCTTCTCTGAACTTACTGGCTCCAGCGTCAGTCTCTCCATTAGCATAATATCTTAAAGGCAGCAGCCGAGTTTCCTCCTACTTGGTCTTTCTAGTTCTTGGATCAAGGCTTCAGTCGAGGTAGGCACTCAGTAAATACTTCATGGAAGAGTCAGTGGTTAGATCCTCTGAGAGACTGGTGCGTTCCTGAATGAAACACAGCAGCTCTTCTCTAGGTGGTGATACACTTGTTAGCATCTCTTCCATTGAAACGTTTTAAGGAAGAATGAGATAAGAATGATGGGGAAAATTCATGAACTCTCATTGTGGTTTCCATTTTAGATTTTGAATGGAGATAACTGCTGGGCCAGAGACATGTAGGAAAAAATAATGAAACAGTTTTAGTAGTTTATTAAGATTTTTCTTCTTTTCATTGATATTAAAGATTATGATTGTGTGTTTTTCTCTTTTAGTAGTTCAGTTGTGTTGAAAGGTAGAATTGGTTGTTTTGTAGTCTTGCTGCTGACTCTTCTAAAATACCACATTAATGAGTTTTTCTGGCATGCGATGTTACCTCATTGTAGACTGCAATACATATATCCATTTCAGTTTTGTGAATTCTTCCCCTTACACTCTAGAAATTTTTTTTGAAGTTGGTAATATGGCATAAGCAAAAAATTGAAAGGACGGGGTATTTGAGCAGATTATTTGGTTAAAAAATAATTCGCATTCAGATCAAATCAATAGAGGGTTTTATTTTGATTTTATTAATGTAAGCTAAAATAATTCTCTTATGTAATTGCTAACTGTTGTCATTTTTATTATTTTATAGGAAAGAAGCAGCAGATTTTCATATAGACCATCACTCAAAGCCCTTTTTTAAGTAGGTACTGAATTGGAGGCTAATGGAGAATATTCTGGAAAACGAGTCATAGTTTTACAATTAAAAGTTTTGTTATATGAGGATAATCTGTCATAAAGGACCCCAGCAACATCTTGCAACCGCAAAGAAGTATTTTACTTATTTTTTAATATTTTTTTATTGATTTCATAGAATAAGGGAGAGATAGAAACATCAATAATTAGAGAGAATCACTGATCGGCTGCCTCCTGCATGCCCCCTATTGGGGATTGAGCCTGCAACCTGAGTATGTGCCCTGACCAGGAATCGAACCATGACCTCCTGGTTCATAGGTCAATGCTCAACCACTGAGCCATGCCAGATGGGCTGCAAAGAATTATTTTCTAAAAATTGGTTTTTCTGTCCTTTTCTTATCTCATCATTAAATATCTTAAACTTTAATAAGAAGCAAATAAGATTATTTGTTTAAATTATAAGGAGCATCACTTTCTTTTTAGATTTTAGTAGATTTAACATGGAGTGATAATTATATTTTATGTCTAATATTTATTTCTGCTGTGCTTTTAAACTCTTATTTTGGCATTCTCATATGTATAAATAAATGTTCTTAGAATCCTTACATTTTAAATAATTTTATATACATTTTGTTCTTGAAACATAGCAACAAATATATGTTAGAAACTGAATCTATGTCTTAAATATCTTGGTTGCTTTTATTTTATATTTTATTGTTTTGTTAATCCTCACCCAAGGATATTTTTCCCATTGATATTTTTTTAAAATATATATTTTCTTGATTTTTTTACAGAGAGAAAGGGAGAGGGATAGAGAGTTAGAAACATCGATCAGCTGCCTCCTGCACACCCCCTACTGGGATGTGCCCACAACCAAGGTACATGCCCTTGACAAGAATCGAACCTGGGACCCTTCAGTCTACAGGCCAACACTCTATCCACTGAGCCAAACCAGTTAGGGCCCATTGATATTTTTTTAAAGAGTTGGGAGAGAGAAAGGGGGAGAGAGGGAAAGAGAAACATGATGTGAGAGAGAAACATTGATTGGGTGCCAACTATGGCTAGGGATTGAACCTGTGACCCTTCGGTGAGAAGGCCGAAGCTCTAACTATCAAGCTACACAGGCCAGGGCTTGGTTTGTTTTTAAATTTAGTTGAACCTTGTGCATCTTATATTACTACTAGTGGCCCGTTGCATGAAGATTCGTGCAATAGGCCTTCCTTCCCCTGGCTGCCGGCACCGGTTTTCCTCCGGCACCCGGGACATTTGCTCCTGCCGCAGAAGCAAGGCTTGGCTTCTCCACTCCTGCTGCTCCCAGCCCCTCCTTTTTTTTTTTTTCCAGCTCCTCCAGCAGAGCCCAGGGCAGACTGGAAGCCTGGGTTCCCCCCGACAACCCAGGCCCCCTGGCGACCCAGGTCCCTGGCGACCCAGGCCCCCCCGCCCCTCCTTGAGCAGAGTACAGGGCCTGTGAGAAGCTTGGCTTTCTCCGTCGCCAGGAGCAACCCAAGCCTCCTGCTCGATCCAGCTCTGTGGCCTCTGCCATCTTCAGTCATCTTCAGTCTTTGCTCTGTGCCTGCATATGCAAATTAACTGCCATCTTTCTTTGGCTAATTTGCATAGTCACTCTGATTGGCTGGTGGGTGTAGCGGAGTGGCAGAGTGACAGAGTGATGGTTAATTTGCATGTTTCTCTTTTATTAGTGTAAATTGATAAAGGAGCACTTGTATTTCTAATGAAGAAAGATGTTAGCCAAGCTGCTATGATAGGCATGCCATTTGGTACCCTACACAGAATAGGGGTTTTAAAAAAAAGTTTGATATAAGAAATGTATTATGTTATACATTGTTTTAAATCAGGCGTTCTAAAAATGTTCCTGAACCTTGTTAGAATAAGAACATATAATTATCTTGGAAGTTACTCTTTATTATATTCTTTGTATACGTTTATAGCATTATATTGCAGCTCTTGATGTAATGTCTTACATGTAATTAGTATGTGGTAAATTTTATCACATGTATGAATTAACTAGTTTTCGTGTTGTATTGAGAAACACATAACAAAAGACGTAGCTGCAGTCACGGAGGCAGTGCCACAAAGCACCATCTTTTATGATCAGGCATGCCGTTCCTGCGTTCACCTGCCACGCTCATCCTGCGGCTCATTCTGCTGTGTGCTCAGAGAACTGTGCTACTAGGACATTAGATTATAGGTTTCTTGAGGGAAGCTTCTGTTACAACCTATTCTGATTTGTAGTAGATGATCATTAAATGCTTATTGAATGGATGAACATATGTTTCTTCCCTTGACTTAGATTCCTTAAGTCTAATTATTTTGGCACCTAAGGCCTAGTAGAATATGTCTGAGGAGGTCATGTAGGCCTTTTAGGATGGAGGATATGAATACTCCTACGTACGTGTTATTGCTTAGAAATATTCAACATGAAATGATTTTTGAAAATATATTTTTATTGATTTCAGAGAGGGAGAGAGAGAGAGAAAAATCAATGATGAGAGAGAATCATTGATTGGCTTCCTCCTCCTGCATGCCCGACACTGGGGTTCGAGCCCATGACCCAGGCATATGCCCTATGGAGAATCGAACCTTGACCTCCTGGTTCATAGATTGATGCACAACCCCTGAGCCACACCAGCCGGGCAGCATGAAATGATTTAAGAAGTCAGTACTGAAGAGGGTTGGCTCATGGAACATGGTTCACCAGGGCAGGAAGTATGTGCAACAGCCAAGAGTTAAAGGCACAGAAGGGCTGTGGTGCCCTGCTCCTCTCTCCAGGAGGGTCCCGGCCACTCTTGGCTTAGATGAGAGAGAAGCATGGGCTTTCTTTAAAAGTAGACTGTCCCCGCTAAGCACAGTAGGAGGAACGGTGTCCCTTATCTCACAGTTAAACTTGTCATTGTTGCCTTGTACACAAATAAAAGTAAAAAAATGAGGTTTTGTTTTTCATATCTTGGAGTACTGTCTGACTCGGTGTATGTGTAGCTTTGAAATTGAAGATAGGAATAAGTCACTGCAGCTTTTATGCTAATAAAAGGGTATTTCTTAAAGGCCTATTGATTTCTTTTTTTTTATAACTAGACAAACTTAATGCTTATTGATTGAAGCATAGATCAACAGGATGCATTTTAAGGCAGTGAAATAGTCTCAGTCCAATGAAACAGTGATTTTTCTGTTCACAGTAATTGCTTTGATAACACTGGCAATTCAGGCCAACGCAAGGCACTTGATTTATGAAAAATGCACCTTGTCCACGTGAAATCCACTATATCCAGTAGTTCTGAGATCATAATGTCCATGTATTTGTTGAAATACTCAAATTGTAATGTATCCTTGTTGTGAAGAGAGATGCCTAGTCGGACAGAACAATGAAGCAAATACCATCTTTCACCTGTTTCCTAGTGAGCTGATCCAGTTTATTACAAGTGGTCCTGTTATTGCCATGGAGATTTTAAGAGATGATGCCATATGTGAATGGAAGAGACTTCTCGGACCTGCCAACTCTGTGGTGGCGCGTGCGGATGCGCCCGGAAGCATCCGAGCCCTCTTTGGAGCCGACGGCATCAGGAATGCAGCCCACGGCCCCGACTCCTTCGCCTGTGCGGCCCGAGTAAGGTGTTTCCGATGCTGTCACTCAGTTTGGGTTTTGGGAACTGTTTGATGTCAGCGTTTAGCATTTCCATCGCTGCTGGTGGAGGGTGGATTGATACAGCTGATCTCGTAGCAGAGAAAACCTTGACCTTTGGCCTGGGATTAACAGTGTTTCAATGATACATCTCCCCCGGGAGCTGGTAATCTGGTTACGGCCAAGGTAAGTTTAAAATATGTATCCCACTTCTTGTTCCAAAGACTGAACTTACTAATGCTCATCAATGTTTAAATTATGGAGTTTATGAAAGAATACCAGTTTACAGACAGTGAATATTCAAAAAGAAGGCATCATTGGATATGTTCTCTCCCTGGCCCCTAGCACTCTCTTTCCAAGTTTGACATCTTTTTCTCTCCTATATCTCCCTAGTGTTTATGAAAAAGTTTTCCTGCATCATCCCTTGTTTTAAATTCACACAAATAAGGTATTACACTGGGTTTAAACTGACATTGAATTAACGAAGTGCAAATTTATTCTTGGCATCATGAGACATTTCTCAGTTCATTTAAGATGGTTTTTAGTCTGGTCATGTTTGCAGTTAAATAATATTAGACAGTTTTATGATAATTGACTTTTCTTACAAGTTTATTAGTAAATTCCTTCAGCTGGCCTTTCAAAAAAGACCTTGAATCTGATCACTGTGGTCAAATCACCGTTATATTTTCTGGGCTACTGCAGATGCCACCTGATTTTTTCCTTTTCTCCTGTTAATCAGTTTATGAAAATTTTATCCTGCCCAAGTAAAATTAACTGTGCCCAGGGGGACCTTCTTAAAAACAAATTGTATTAACAATTGAACTATTACAAACCCTTCCATGAACTTTTGCCTCTTGTGGAATAGCATCCAAAGCTCCCCCAACCTGGCCCCTGCCTCTCTCTACACTTAACCTCTCACCAGTCTCTCCCTTACTGTGTCCCAGGTGTATGACTATCTTGCTACTCCTAGAGTGGCCTTCGGCCTGACTGGTTCAGCCTACAGCAAAGAGGGCAGTGTGGTTGGATGGGGGGAGGGAGGAGGGGCAGATGAGGTCACAGAAGTGGTCATGTCGTCCTGTAGACCGCAGTAGTACAAGACTGTTGGCCTTAATGTATGTTAATCATATCTCAACAAAACTTAAGAAAAACAGTAACAGCACTGCTTACCTGTTACCACTTCCCTGATTCTATGCACGGCATCCTTCCTTGATGCCTGCTTCATGCCCACCACATCCCTCTGATTCTATATTCAGCCTCCTACTAGACTGGGAATTCTTGAAGATGTCTAATTTACCTCAAGGATCTAGATCAGAGGTGTTTTAAAAGTTTTGGAATTAAAAATGATAACAAACCTAATGTTTATCAAGGCTCACTGTGTGTATCACAGGCATAGTTCCAAGCAGTGGAGTGTCTCATTTAAATCTCAGACATCCTCGGACTCTCATAGCCAGTTAGCCTGGAGGTCAAATCACCCCCGGTATTGCAGACAACAATCAAGGCTTAACTACAACAAGACTGCGCACAAAGACCACTAGGGGGTGCACCAAGAAAGCATACAAAATGCGGAGACAAAGAAACAGGACAAAACTGTCAATGGAGGATATTGAGTTCAGAACCACACTTTTAAGGTCTCTTAAGAACTGTCTAGAAGCCGCCGATAAATAGAGTGAGATCCTCAAGAAATCTAATGAGACTCTCGATGTTATGATAAAGAACCAACTAGAAATTAAGCATACACGGACTGAAATAATGAATACTATACAGACTCCCAACAGCAGACCAGAGGAGCGCAAGAATCAAGGCAAAGATTTGAAATGCGAAGAAGCTAAAAACACCCAACCAGAAAAGCAAAATGAAAAAAGAATCTGAAAATACGAAGATAGTGTAAGGAGCCTCTGGGACAGCTTCAAGCGTACCAACATCAGAATTATAGGGGTGCCAGAAGATGAGAGAGAGCAAGATATTGAAAACCTATTTGAAGAAATAATGACAGAAAACTTCCCCCACCTGGTGAAAGAAATAGACTTACAGGTCCAGGAAGTGCAGAGAACCCCAAACAAAAGGAATCCAAAGAGGACCACACCAAGACACATCATAATTAAAATGCCAAGAGCAAAAGACAAAGAGAGAATCTTAAAAGCAGCAAGAGAAAGAAACTGAGTTACCTACAAGGGAATACCCATACGACTGTCAGCTGATTTCTCAACAGAAACTTTGCAGGCCAGAAGGGAATGGCAAGAAATACTCAAAGTGATGAATACCAAGAACCTACAACCAAGATTACTTTATCCAGCAAAGCTATCATTCAGAACTGAAGGTCAAATAAAGAGCTTCACAGATAAGGAAAAGCTAAAGGAGTTCATCACCACCAAACCAGTATTATATGAAATGCTGAAAGGTATCCTTTAAGAAGAGGAAGAAGAAGAAAAAGGTAAAGATACAAATTATGAACAACAAACATGCATCTATCAACAAGTGAATGTAAGAATCAAGTGAATAAATAATCTGGTGATCATAATAGAATCAGGGACATAGAAAGGAAATGGACTGACTATCCTTGGGGGGGAAAGGGGTGTGGGAGATGCGGGAAGAGACTGGACAAAAATCGTGCACCTATGGATGAGGACAGTGAGTGGGGAGTGAGGGCGTAGGGTGGGGCGGGAACTGGGAGGAGGAGAGTTATGGGGGGAAAAAAGAGGAACAAATGTAATAATCTGAACAATAAAGATTTAATTTAAATAAATAAATAAATAAATAAATAAATCTCAGACATCCTATGCAGTTGCTTGTCATCCTAATTTACTGTTGCTGAAGCAGACTCAGTGAGTTTAGGTACCCGGGCCACATGCTTGACCACTCCCTCCACTGTGTGTGCTGAAGTAGTAGCCTACTCACCGTCTTTTAGAATGTGGAAGTCATAGGAAGTAGAGAAAAGAAATTTTGTCATCAATAATCCTGTCAGCAGCATTTACAGTTTACCTATTTATGGCATACTAGAGGCCCGGTGCACGAATTCATACACCAGTGGGGTCCCTTGGCTTGGCCTGCAGGATCGGGCCAAAACCAGCTCTCTGACCTCCCCCAAGGGGTCCCAGATTGCGAGAGGGCACAAGCCAGGCTGAGGGACCCCACCAGTGCACGATTGGGGCCATTGAGGGTCACAGGAGGTTGGCCAGCCGGGGAGGTACCGTGGAAGCGCCCCAGGACATGTCCAGCTTGTCTCACGCAGTCCTGATTGGCCGGACCCCAGCAGCAAGTTGACTTACCAGTTGGAGCATCTGCCCCTGGTGGTCAGTGCATGTCATAGCGACTGGTCGACCGGTCAACTGTCTGCCCCCTGGTGGTCAGTGCATGTCACAGTGAGAAGTTGAGCTGCCTTAGCATGTCATTAGCATATTACACTTTGATTGGTTGAACGGACGACTGGACGAACGGACACCTAGCATATTAGGCTTTTACTATATAGGATTCTTCCAGCTCGTTTTCTTGGTCATTTATGTAACCTGCAAAGTAAACACCATTTTACATGGTTTTAACTTAATTACTTTTTTCACTTAATATTATACCATAAAATTTTTCCATGTCACTAGATTACTGTCAAAAGAGTACATTTTAATGGCTTCAGAATATTCTCTTGGCATGGAAATAACATGATTTACTTAAAAGGTCCCTTTTGAAGATTAGGTTTGAGGTTTTTCTCATATTTGTAAATAAGGGTGCATTGTTCATGCCACTTGATATTGGATTATTTTCTGATAAAAGTGTTTTTATTTGATATTAGGAAAGTATATAGAGAGAAAGTTTGGTATTTTTCAATGTTTTAATCTGGAGCATTTACAAAAATTATATACATATATATACATACTGTATAAAAGCCTAAGTGACCATTAGGACCGAACGATCAGAATGACAGGAATGATCGGTTGACCAGTCTCTATGATACGCACTGACCACCAGGGGGCATACGCTCAACGCAGGAGCTGCCTCGTGGTGGTCAATGTGTTCCTGCAGCCAATTTCCCACAACCCCTCCTCCCAGCCAGCCCAGCCTCAATGGGCCCCGATTGGGGGCGGGGCCAGCTAACCAACCTCCCACGTTCCCTCCCCACGGCTGGCCAACCTCCTGCAGTCCCTCCCTCCAGCTGGTCCTTCCCCGATGGGCCCTAATCACTGTCCAGACTAAGGGACTCCACCTGTGTACAAATTCGTGCACTGGGCCTCTAGTCCTATCTAATAAAAGGCTAATATGCAAATTGTCCCCATGGGTGGGAGTTTGACTGACCAGGAGTTAGATGTGGCTAACCACCAGGTAGTGGCGCGGAACATGGCGGGCGTTGGTGACGCAGTGCTGGCAGCGGACGGCAGTGGAGGTGCTGCCGGCCCCAATGGCCTGACAAGAGCAGGACCACAGCAGGGAGCGGGGCCGGTGAGTGGGTGGTGCCAGCCAAGGAGGATTCGAGCAGGGGCCCCTATCGCCTCGCCAATCGCCCCACAGATTGGCCCTGATTGCTGGCCAGGCCTAGGGACCTTACCTGTGCATGAATTTTGTGCATCAGGCCTCTAGTATTTATATAAATTACTATGTAAAAGTTTGGGAGAAACTTTTAACTGGCAACCATTTATATTTATAATTAAAGATATGAATGTAGATTAGTTGAATGCTTTAATGAGGTTACCATAGGATCTTATCAAGGTGAAATTTATGAAAAAGTACAACTATATGCTTTACAATTTGTTAAATAAAATATAGTATAAAAGCAATATACTTAAAGCTTATCAAATTGAGTCTGAATTTTATTTAGGGGAGAAAGTTATATATTTTTGTCCTTCCTTACTGGTCAGTTTAGGGAAAAGTAAAGGCTAACAGGAGAGGAGCTTTATGAGAAATATTTCAGCAGCTCAGATCACAAAGTAATATGAAAATTTTTTGTGTAACTTTACTTTCTTTGAAGTCTCTGAATTAGTAAAAGTGTGCTCTTGCAAATGTTAGCTTGGATTAATAGTGGTAAAAGCTTAGAGATAGGGAAGTGTGTTTAAATAATTAATGGTACTGATGAGTGTGACAATCTTCGACTAGTTCAAATGGCTGGGTTGTTGTTTCAGTGAACCACGTGTAAAACAACACAGCCTGGCCTGGCCGATGTGCTCAGTGATTGGTCAACCCATGAACCAGGAGGTCATGGTCCAATTCCCTATTGGGGCACATCCCTTGGTTGTGGGCTCAATCCCCAGTAGGGGGCGTTCAGGAGGCAGCAGATCCATGATTCTCTTTCGTCATTGAAGTTTCTCTCTCCCCCTCTCCTTTCCTCACTCTGAAATTGATAAAAACACATTTTAAGAAAACACTGCCCAAATCTAGCTACAAAATATGGTTCATTTAATTTAATTTTATCACAGGACTATAGTGAGTATTTAGTTTTAACTAACAATAGTTCTGATTCTTGATCTCCATTTTACACGTCAAAGTCATTTCTCTCTATTTCTAGGAAATGGAGTTATTTTTTCCTTCGAGTGGAGTCTGTGGACCAGCAAACTCTGCTAAATTTACCAATTGTACCTGTTGCATTATTAAGCCCCATGCCATCAGTGAAGGTAAGTGCTATGTCAAGTATAACATGTCCAATTCATTGTGTTCATAGGAACTTATGAGCAAATCCTTTTGGAAATGAGATGGGATGTAATTTAAAAATCATCCTGAAAAAACTAGAATATCCTATATAATAAAAGCCTAATATGCTAAGTGTCCAGTTGTCTGGTCGGCTGTTCAACCAATCAAAGCATAATATGCTAATGATGTGCTAAGGCCACTCAACTGCTCCCTATGATGTGCACTGGCCACCAGGGGGCAGACACTCCAACTGGTAGGTTAGCTTGCTGCTGGGATCTGGCCGATCGGGATTGAGTGAGACGGGCCAGACATGCCCTGGAGCCCTCTGTCGGTCCCTCCCTGGATGGCCAACCTCCCACGTCCCTCCCCGGCCCCTTATCATGCACTGGTGGGGTCCCTCGGCCTGGCCTGTGCCCTCTCACAATTCGGGACCCCTTGGGGGATGTCGGCACCAGGGACCCCACTGGTGCCTGACTTCTTGCACTGGGCCTTTAGTACTAAATAATAAACATAATTGAATGGATTAATTTTTTTCTTAGTATTAAGATAATTCAGGTACACAGTAGAAAATATAAAAAAATTTTAAGTTACTTGTTTTTCATTATCCTGAGAGAGTCATTGTTCACATTTTGATATTTCCTCCAAATCTTTTTATTCTGCATATGTATGTATATGTGTGTAACTGACACATGTGAATGTAATTAACATGTTCAAGATATAGGTCTATTGGCAGATCCTTGGGACCGTAATTAGAGGGGAGCAACATGCATGATGGGTAATAAAAATTGATGGAGAACTTACCACTATGTGCCAGGTAGCAGAGTGAACACCTGTATCTCTTTTAATCTCAGCAATCATGTCAAATAGGTGGGTCTGGCATTTTTTCCCAGGTACATGAGGCTCTATGTGAATAAGTCATTTCCCAGTTTAGTAGGGAAGCCAGGATGCAGACACTGGTCTCCTGTCACCTCTGGGTTCTTCCTCTACACCCACTGCTCTGCAGCAGTCACAGCAGAGCATCACATGGTGTAGCAGTAACATTTGAAATGGCTGGGGTTGACAGTCTATGAAGAACATGGGAATTTTATGTTACCCTCACTTTTCTTACCTGGGCATGGACACACACACACACACACACACACACACACACACACAATCAATCAATCAATCAATCAATCAATATACAGACACATTCTAATGTGATGAGCCAAGTTCCCGTTTAAAGGCCTCAACTTTATAAAAAGCTTATCTTTGGCATCTTAATACATTCAATTTGATCTTTATCTGATTTTATTTTTTCTAAGGAAAAATGTGATGCATGGAAAGAGAAATAAAATGGAATACTAGTTATAGCTCTTAATAATTGCATAGATAAATATAACAAATCTATTTAAAATGATTATATAATTGAAAGATGATGTCACATGACTAAGTTTATATTTACACAGGTTTAAATCATTTTTAGTCAGCTGTTTTTTAAAGATTAACTATATTTCATATATTCATATTTGATACGTAGCATTTGAGGTAAATGAGTTAAAAGGAAATTTTGTAAAATTTAATCAAGTGGCAAAACAGTTTAAACTTTGGCATTTCAAGTTGTTTTTTTCCCCCCTTTTATTTCTAAGCCTCAATTATAGGGATGCTTTAAGACTAGTTTGAAATGTGTAATTAACCCAATTTAGCTTAGAGTTAATAAACTGTGGCTACAATAAAATACAGTTTAAAGTTTCATATTGAATTTATTATTAGATTCACGTGGCCCCCTTTCAATGGCTGGTTTATGTTTATCTTTTTCTATAATGATCCCATTTCCTGGCATATTTAATTTCATCCGGGGTCTAGTGTGGATCTGAGAGGAAAAGAGGTTAAAGAAAAAGTTGTTGATAAGAGAGCAGCTGAAAAGAAGTTGGGTTGTTCCCTGAGGTTGACCACCACTCCCCCAAAGGCCAGGATAGCCTGCTGACCAAGCAAAGTGCAGTTTACTGCTGTTCCAGTAGAGAGCACAGCTGGGCGGAGCCCAGGAGACGCCCCAAGGGAGAGGTCCTGGGCGGACTTTGTGGAGTTCCCCGTCCACCTGGAGAGATGGAAGGTTTCCTGTGAGTGCAGAGATCTGATGGAAACTGGGCAGCGTTCGTGAGATCCGAGTTTAGGTTTCGTGGACACAGTGCTGCAGGGATCTTAACCAAGCCTTCTAAGTACCCAGTTGTTTGATGAGTGAGTTGTTTGCCAAGTTGAGAGGATATTGTGAAAAGGGGATCATTTGAGTAGTCTATTGTTGGTGTAAATGGACTTTGGGGAAGTTCCTGACACGCACAATGACGTCATTTACTGATTTACAGCCTTATCTTTGTGGCTAGGAATTTCTTAGCACAAATAATAAAGTCATGCGGATGTAGGCGCCTTAGTTCTTAGTCCTTTGGTTAATCTGTATAGGTTCAGTGGTTGGCTTCTCACTTCTGAGAGAGCTAGGGAAAACTACAGAGCATACAGAGCGTGGTTTGTGGACTAGATGGTGGCATTCGTGGTCTTGTAATCTGTGTCGATTGAAATATCTTTTGTCATTTGGAGGACTCAGATTTTAAAAGGGAAGAAAAATAAGGCGAATATTTTCGTGTTCTTTTTTAACTTCAAGATGATGCAGAGCGTTTGTTTGATGTCCTCAGTATTACTTATATGTAGTTAGTTCAATTCCATTGATAAAATAAGTTAATTTTACCCTGAAATCGGGCTCCACAGGCTTGAATCCTGGCTCCACTACTTATTCTCCATGGGCTGTTAGGTAACTGACTTAGGTTAATCTCTTTCCACCTTATGTCCTCATCTGTGAAGTGAGATTAGCAGTTTCCCTTCTTCGCAGAGTAACTATGCATTAAATGTAATAGTTAATAACTAACATTAATTAACTATAAGGGCTGTCCCAGGTCCAGTGCGCAGCTGAGCTGAGTGCTGCGTCAGAGTTGGACATTCTTACTGTGATGAGTACTCCTCTACCACTGCCATGACTGCTACTAGTAACTCCTTCATAACAGTGCAGTGGCTTAAAATGCTAACAAAATCCAACATCCACACCTGTCACCCGCAGAAAGAAAGAAAAGCCATCTCATTGTTTAAGGAACGAAGCGCTGTCCTCAGTTAAAGTCTGGTGTAAGGGAAGTCCGTGAAGCGGTCATTGCTTCTGTCCGGCTGACTGGCAGCGTCCTCCATGACCTGCCCTGACGGCCCGTGAGGCTGGCACTGGGCACGAGGAGGTGGCGAATCGGGAGAGCGGCCTCTACACTTGCCATGGCCCCCGCATTAGCCTTTTGAAGTATGAGAGCCCGAATTCTGTGGGAAATTTTTTCTTTAGCAGATTTATGCATTAAACAGTTTGCGTTGTTCATGACATTGTCCTTTCTGAAATTCAGTTTCCTTTAGTCTTTAAACCCAGGTGTTCTCTTACTCTATGAAATTGTGTAGAAAATTCTTGTAAAAGATAATTGTGTTCTGTATCTTAATGTTATGTTTTGTTTTGGCTGTAAAAAATCTATTTTCACGGAGGCTGTTGGAAAGTAATTTTAGATTTTATTTCTAAAAAGATATATTGTCTGTCTGCAATTCACTTATTAAGAAGCACATTATTTAGTAGAACATTGGCCAGTTTGTAAATGTAACACCAGAGTTATCTCTGATATGCTAATGGAGCAGGAAGACCGTTCTCAGCCAGGTTATGTTTATCAAGTTTCTTACTTTTATCAATCAGCGCTTCTTACTCAGGGCCTCTTTCAGAGATTCACTTTCCTCCCTGAATGATCATTTTGATGCTCAATAGACCAAGAGCCCGAGAAACACATCCACCCTGTGGAACCCCCTGAATTTGGGATGATTAAAATGATTACATTCCCACCTTTTCTATAGATGATTTTCCTCAAATAATTTAGCCTCTGGAATACTGTGGAGGAGGTGTGAACTTTTTGGTGTAAAGAGATTGGATTTAAACATCGTAAATCTAACTCAGTTTCAATAAAGACTCTTGAAGTGGGCCCAGTTTTGCTTAGCATGTCACAGTTGCGGAGTTTTGTGGTTGTTTTATGTTCTATCTGAAACAGTAAACAGGAAGGGGCTTTATAAGATGCGACAGAATCAGAGTGGCCTGCAAAGCCTAAACTATGACCTACCTGATCCTTCACAGAAAAAGTTTATTGGCCTTTGTCATACCGTGCAATTTTAATTGGCCCTGCCTACATTTTGGCATGTGTACCTAACTCTGAATTGTTTAATATTCTGTGAACTTGCTCACTCTCTCCAGATTTTTTTTCTAAGACAAAGATTTTAGAATGTTTAAAACAGCCACTGGAATCTCCTCCCATCTTCCAAGTTATTAATGTGAGAATGTCTATTCTCCTTTCTTTCAAACGTTTTTACTTAACCTTATTGATGTATAAATTACATAGCATAGACACACATGTTCTAAGCATGCGCTTCTGATGTTATGTTACAGCGCCTCAAGCTCTCAGTCACAAAGTCCTTCGTGTATAAACTTGGTCTTGTCAGATGTCTCCCTGGAGACACTTGGAGGATGCGTAGACAGACTGACTGTTTGAATCCAGTGTCACTGTGTGAAGGAGGACTGACTAGACTTAGTCCAGGCTCCACTCTGCGCCTTTCTGATTAGGGGGGCTCTGTCCATGACAAAGCAATGAGAGGTCGCCCTGTCCGTTATCTTCAGGAGTCAGGCTTGCTCTCCCCACCCGACTGGAATAAAGAAGCAGCTGTTGCTAGGCAGCCGGGCACTAGCACCTAGCAACTGAGATGTGAGCTTCAGGACCCCAGGCACCCTTCAGAGCTCAGTGATGTGTGTTACAAGCACAAGCCCTATGCTCGTCTGTCTGAATTAGAAGGAGCACAATAAAGGGATGGCCATCAGCCCGTGAAAGTCCTGAGCACCTGGCAGGGGTTATTGTAGGATGTGACGTGCGGACACGATTATCCTTCTATGGCTCGA